ACTCACTATGTAGACTAGACTGGCCTTGATCTCACAGAGATCCACCTGTCTCTGCCTTTTAAGTGCTGGGATTAAAGGTGTGTGCTACCACATCTTGCTTTAAATTTTTTGTAGCCTGGGCATGGTGGCTCAAGTCTTTAGTCCCAGCACTTGGGAGGCAGAGGCAAGCAGATCTCTGTGAGTTCAAGGCCAGCCTGGTCTACATAGTGAGTTCCAGGACAGCTGGGGCTACAGGGAGACTATCCTAGTTTGTTTCTTCATTGCTGTGACAAAATACTCTGATCACTACCAACTTGGGGAGGAAAGGATTTATTTAGCTTACATATCCCGGATCACAGCCCATCTAAGAGCCCAAGGTAGGAATTCAGGGCGGGAACCTGGAGGTAGGAGCTGGAGCACAGGCCATGGAGGAGTGCTACTTACTGGCTTGCTCCCCTGGCCCCTGCTCAGCCTGCTTTCTTATGCAACATAGGCCCATCTGCCCAGGGATGGCACCACCCACAGTGGGCTGGGCCCTCCCACATCACTCAACAATCAAGAAGGTGCCCCATGGACATGGCCACAGGCCAGTCCAATGAAGGCAATTCCCCAATTGAGGCTCCCTTGGACACCCTGTCTCAAAAAGACCAAAAAAATTTATTTTATTTTATTTTTATTTGTATGTGCGTGTGTGTGTGTGTGTGTGTGTGTGTGTGTGTGTGTGTGTGTCTGCAGAGAGGGAACTGGATCCCCTGGAACTAGAGTCATAGGCAGTTGTGAGCTGCCCCATATGGGTGCTAGGATGGGAATGGAACTTAAGTCCTCTGGAAGAACAGCAAGCTCTCTTAACCACGGAGCCGTCTCTCCAGCCCTTTTTTTTTTTTAAGATTTATTTTTATTTATGTGTGTCTCTGTATATGTGTACATGTATTCAAGGTACCAGAAAGAGATGTGTCAGATAACCTGTGTCTTGGGAACCAAACAGGTTTATGGAAGAGCAGGAAATGCTCTTAACTGCTGAGCCATCCCTCCAGTCCTTTATTTATTTTGAGACAAGATCTTACTATATCTCCCTGGCTGTACTGGCACTCATGTGGCCTTGAAGTCCAGGCAATTCTTCACCTACCTCAGCCAAGGGTTGGGAGTACTGGGATTACCACCCTGTGCATTTGCATTATAGAAGAGCACCTTGAGAACACAAACTGAAGAGCAGGATGTTCAGAAGAAACTTCCTGTTTTCCATGACTATCACACTTGCTTCTGCTTTGACAATCACTCTTGCTTGACATCCCACTTTGAGAAGTGTGCACACCTGTCCTAAGGCGTAGCCTCCTCCCACTGCTCTGCATTCTAGTTACATTTCTGTTGCTGTGATAAAATACCCTGACAAAAAGCCTCTTAGGGGAGAAATGGTTTATTTTAGCTTACAGTTCCAGGTTACAGTCCATTATTTGGGAAAATCAAGGTAACAGGAACATGAAACCAGCTGGTCACATCACATCCACAGTGGAGAGCAGAGAGAAATGGATGCACATATGCTTGCTTGCTTGTGCGCAGTTCAATTTCTCCACTCACACACTTCAGGACCCCCTGCCTAGGGAATGGTGCCACCCACAGTAGGCTAGGTCTTCCTATATCAATGAACTTAATAAGAAAATCTCCCACAGATATGTCCAGAGGCCAACCCAGTATAGAAAATTCTTCATTGAAACTCTCTTCCCAGGTAATTCTAGGTTGTGTCAAGTTGACAATTAAAACTATCATACCCTGTCCACAGCTGCACCCCTTCCCCCAACCCCACACTCCAGATTTGGTCACCTAGTAGCACTAAGGCTTGTACAACTGTGAACCTCACAGGGAAAAGGGTCTTGTAATATCCTTAGGGGTCCTCAGCACCCCAGGCCACCTGTGGCTCAGCATGGCCATTTACTGTCCTCATGGTGCTCAGCACCCTGGATTGGTTTTCTTTTTGCTCCCCATTCTGGGATCCTCAAATGTTGGGCCTAGGGGAAATGTGACTGCAATGTGGGGGAGACCTGGCCATACTGAAACTCCAGCTCTGGCAGGCCTGACCAAGGGGACTAACCGAAAGTGTATAGCTAAAGGTCTGCGGATGCCTGGGCTTTGGTCTGGGTCTGAGTCTGGAGTGGAGTTTGGGGGCTGGTGAAAGGCTGAGCAATGGGTGTGAGGTGATGAACCCTGGGAAACAGACCCCACTCTTGGTATCCCCAGACCCACTCTGTCCTCTTCTCTGTTGGTCTCCTCATCTTGAGGGGTTCAGTAGGGGGTCATGGCCAGAGAGAGGCTCAATCTTTGGGAATGTAGTCTTGAGAGGCTGGTGCTTGGTGGCCCTGTGGTGGGCTGGGCTGGGGCAGGTCCTCAGTTTGACTTGAAGAGGACTTGCTCTCTGGAAAGGACCAGAAGAAAGCCCCAATGGCTGATATTTGGAAGCAGCCTCCCAGGTTTACTCAGTCACCCAGTTGAGCCACTAGGAGGAGAGGGAGGTTGACTCCACAGCTCCAGGATTCAAGTCCTACTCACCACCCCATCCCCATGCTTCAAGACAAGAATAGGGGTACAGGGTGAAGAAAGAGATCCCCATGGAGACAAGAAGGTGTCGATCCATGTGGCCATCATACTAGCTTTCCTGGTTGTCTTCTCATGTGGTCCTCAGGACCGAGGGAGCGGTAACAGGGCAGGGACAGGGGCCCTCTGATGAGGTAGTAGGAGATGGAGGAACAAATTCTTGGCAAAGTTGGCTGATGATCCCTTTTTCTCATTTCTAGGGACTGAGGGGGCCAAGGCTCTGATAGGTAAGTGGGCTTGTCTGAGTTGTAGGACTGGCTAGGGATCTACACACAAATGCACCCACACACAGAGGGCAGCAGCAGATCCAGCCAGAAGTGCCTGGGGTAGAAGGAGGAATCTCCCACATGGCCAGCAAAATAGGACACAGTGGAGGCATCAGAAGTGCCAGGACAGGTGACACCACCCCTGCTGTATCTTGACTGTCCCCCTGACCAACCAGTCCTGTAGAAGACATAACTGTTCTTCAGGGAGCTCTGTGTGTCTGGCTCTGGAATGAGAATTTTCCATGTTACCTCAACCTCACTGGGTTGGGTCCCCAGTAGGATCTTGTTACCCTGTCATAGGTGAGGAAACTAAAGTTCATGGGGAGGTAGAACTAAAGAGGATCAGACTATATCAAAGGCCAACTATGTTTGGGCCTCTCATCTGCCAAGGTCCTGAGCAGGTTGGGGGCCAGGAGGGCCAGAAATTGAGCCGAAAGTGGGAGCTGGCGTGTGGGGTTGGGGCTGGAGTCAGAGCTGTGGAAGCAGCCCCTAATAAATGCATTTATGTTCCTTCCAGCCTGCGGGCATCCAAGAATGCTCAACCGGATGGTGGGTGGTGACGATGCCTTGGAAGGCGAGTGGCCCTGGCAGGTCAGCATCCAGCACGACGGGGTCCACTTCTGCGGGGGCAGTCTCATCGCACCGAAATGGGTCCTCACTGCAGCACACTGCTTCTCCAAGTGAGTGGCCCTGTCCTGGTCCTTCCTGCTCCCCATCAGTGGCTGGGACAGGACAGAGCCCTGTGCAGTTTTTCAGCACTGTGGACAATGCACACACTCCCCACCCCCTACCCCTCAGCCTTGTCCAACACCAAAAATTCCCTGCCAAAAATTCCCTTCAAGTCCAATCCTAGACCTAACCGGAAGCAGCAACCATTGCCTCAGTCCTTGCTTCATCAACTGCCCTGCTGGTGACACCTGGGGTCCTGTCCCTACAATGCTACAGGCCCCCCTCCTCCCTGGTCCTTTTCCTATGCTCCCCACTATCTCAGATCCAGAACTCTCTCTGGATCTTGGGTATCACATAAGCCCAAGGTCTGGAACAGAAGGTCCCTTCTTCCTCAGCCTAAGGATCATCTCTGTGCAAGAGGGCAGTCCCTCTCCATCCACACAACCATGTTGTGAACCACCTGGTCCCAGACTTGCAGGGTCCCCAGGCATCATACCTCTTTTCTCATCACAGCTCTAGGGTTCATTTTTTTCCCTTTAATTTTTTGTTGTTTGTTTTGGGTTGTTTTGACACAGGGTTTCCCTGTAGCCCCAGCTGTCCTGGAACTTGTTATTGTAGACTAGGCTGGCCTCAATCTCACAGAAATCTAGCTGCCTCTGCCTCTCAAATGCTGGGATTAAAGGTGTGTGCCACCACACCTGGCTTCCCTTAATTTTTTTAAAAAAAGATTTATTTTGTTTTATGCACATTGAGTGTTTAGCCTGCATGTACGTAGGTGTACCACATGCATGCATGGTGCCATCAGAGGCCAGAAGAGGGGGTCAGATCCCCTGTAACTGGAGTTAAGGATGGGTGTTAACTGCCAAATGGGTGCTAGGAACCAAACACAGGTCCTCTGCAAGAGCAGCCAGTGCTCTTTACCATTGAACCATCTCTCCAGCCCTTGCAATTGTTTCAACCCCCCCCCCCCATCTGGGGCTGGAGAAATGATTCAGTGGTTAAAAGCACTGGCTGCTTTTGCAGAGGATCTGGGTGTGGTTCCCAGCACCCTCCTGGAAGTTAACAACTGCCTGTAACTCATTTCAGGGGATCTGACTCTTCTGACTTCCACAGGCATTGCACATGTGGTGAATGTACATACATGTAGGTAAAACACTCATACATAAAATAAAAACTTAAAAATTTAAAGGCCACATCTTTCACTCAGAAATGAGCTGGGAGAATAGGTGGGCTGCCTGGGGCTCAGAGGTGGGGCTGGGTCTCACTGCACCCCCATAGGTGTGTGGTCATTCCAGCAGGCCTTTCAAGTAGGTCTGTTATTGTCCCCATCTTACAAAGGAGGAAACTGAGTCACAGATAACTTGTTAGGTCACTTATCCAAGGTCATCTGGAGGCCAGGGAGAGCTGAGAATTAAAGGTGGGTGGATCTTGCTTTGGTTTCTACACCCTGTAACCCTACCGGACATTCCCTGGAAATGACATTGTTAAGAGTGCAGAGATGTGTCAGACACTGCTATGACCTAGAAGAGCAACCCGTGGGTCCCTTTCCCTGTTGGGAGGAGGCTTGCCCACACCTACTCTCTGTTCTTTCCATCAGTACCTCTGACTTAACCATATACCGAGTCTTGCTGGGGGCACTACAGCTGCTGCAACCAGGACCACATGCTGTGTATATCCCTGTGAAGCGTGTGGAAAGCAACCCCTTGTACAAAGGCATGGCCTCCAGCGCCGATGTGGCCCTAGTGGAGCTGCAGGCACCTGTGACCTTCACCAGCCACATCCTCCCTGTGTGTCTGCCCGATCCCTCACTCATCTTTAAGCCAGGCATGAACTGCTGGGTCACTGGCTGGGGCAGCCCTAGTGAGCAAGGTGAGGGGACAGAGTCAGAGGAAGAAGGGGGGAATGGCTCAAGAAGACTTGGGGCAGGATTCCTGTTGATATTGGTATATATGATCTCTACTCACACGAGTGGGGTGGGGATAAACAGAGGCTGCTGCAATGCAGATGACACAGGGAAATGGGAGGAGACAAGAAGGCAGGCTTGGTGCTAAGGAGGGAAGAAAAAAATGGGTCCCACAAAGCTGAGGAAACCCAGGGAGAGTCAGAAAGAGCTGTGGTTCTTGAGAACTCAGGGCCTCAGGGTCCCGGCTAAGACTGCCAGCTGAACTGCAGGCTGTGCCTCTACCTCCAGACCGCCTACCCAACCCACGGATCCTGCAGAAACTCGCTGTGCCCATCATAGACACACCTAAATGCAACCTGTTGTACAGCAAAGATGCTGAGTCTGGCTTCCAACTCAAAACCATCAAGGATGACATGCTCTGTGCAGGCTTTGTAGAGGGCAAGAAGGATGCCTGTAAGGTAGGGTGGTGTGGCCAAGCCACTAGAGGGAGTTCAACCCTGACTCCTTGCCCAAGTCAAGAGTGGTTTAATTGGGAAGAGATGAGTCAGTGCTGGGTCTGAGATGGTGCCCTGGAAGCTGCATTTTTCAACATATATGCCCTGGGTACACAGATGGGCAACTGGGGCTTGTCCATGAAAGGAGGATGAGTGGGGAGGCTCCAGGGAGAGGGCTGGTGATGAGTGCGCACATGCACCCTAGGGTCTGATAGATCTGCTTCCTTACAGGGGGACTCTGGAGGCCCCCTGGTGTGCCTGGTGAACCAGTCATGGGTGCAGGCTGGGGTGATTAGCTGGGGAGAGGGCTGTGCCCGCCGGAACAGGCCAGGTGTCTACATCCGGGTCACTTCCCACCACTACTGGATCCACCAAATCATCCCAGAACTGCAGTTCCAGAGGAAGGCCAGCAGCCAGCAGCAGCAAGACCCCAGAAGACAGCAGCACCTTTGGGGGAACTCTGCCCCCTGCCTAGCAGCCCATGCAGTCATGCTGGTCCTCGTGGCCCTGCTCACCATTCTCTAAGCCTGGACAGGTAGAGCCACATTCAGTGTACATTTGTAAATAGTTCTGTCCTCCAGCCTCACATGCCAGTTATTTTTATTTATGTTCACCTCCAATAAAATGTCCATGGCTCATGTGGGGATCTTGCCTGGGTCTAGAGGTTGACAAGCTAAGTAAGGAAGATGTGGAAAGCTTGGTCCCCAGGTACACTTAGGCTAGGATGTCCCTGACCCAATTGCCCTGATGCCATCATGAGACTAACAACCTTGAGTGCCAAGGGTTGTCCCATTCCTGCACTGGACAGTGACAGACACAGGTAGAAAACTGGTCAAAGGACACCAGTGTTTCAGGAGGGACCATGCGCAAAGTCGGGGGAAAGGCATGCTGGAGACTACAACCTCCTCCCCAGTCCCAGCCCCAAGCTCCATATCACACAAACCCGAGGACCACCCAAGCCCAGTGCATTCTTGTAACACTTGAATTCTCTCCAGAGGCAACTTGTACTTCATGTTCTTCCCTTGACCTCCCCACCCCCAGCTCCTTTTCTACTGGACTATCCCTTGGCCTCAACCTCCCCACTGGGAATCTGGAGCAACCCATAGTAGAGTGGAAAGGACTATAGGCATACACAAACGTGTACATCCATGCCCCCCCCCCAACACCCATGCTCACACAGGCATACCTACCTTGCCTAGGGTAGAGCAGGCAGTTATTTACAGAATGGATAACACTTAGCATTCACTGACCAAACAAAGTTGAGGGGCTCCCCAGGGCTCAACTCCCCACAGGCCATTCAGTGGCCTCTGTGGAGGGACTGTTTGCTGAGGGCCTTCTCTAGACCAAAGTCGATGTCCAGTCCAAGAGGGGTTACTCATCTACTTTGGAGGAAGCAGGTGCACTGGAGCCCAAGCCAGAGGGTCGGGCAGGCTGTGAGGATGTGGATGAGGATGGGGAGGATAGCTCCAGGAGCAAGCTCTGGGCCATCACCCTGACAGGTACTGGCCTGAGGCTCACAGGCTTGCAGAAGCCTGGGTGACATGACACAGGGAAGATTCTCAGCAGTCTGTGGGAGAAAACTCCAGAAACCAAGATGGAAAGGAAAACAGATTTTGTCCCAATTCTCAGCTTACACTAAGCTTAATGTGGTTGATTTGGATATTCAGAAATACCTCAGGTCATTCCAGGCTCCCCATGGAACCCTGGTGGGGGTACACCTCTGGCATAACTACATCCCAACAAGCTAATGACCTGCCAGGTAGGAAGGTGGCACTGAGTTGCTAGTTGCAGGAGGAACGCTTGGAGGGAGCTTCTGTGTAGACCAGAATGGCTAGGCAGAGATCCAGGACTGCAGTGAAAGGCAACCTGATCTGCCATGAAGGTGGACAGGTGGGCCAAGAGCAGACATCCATCCATCCATCCATCCATCCATGAATCTAGACATATACCACACACACACACACACACATACATGTACATCATGATGGCCTGCAGAAGCCCCAGGAGGGAAATGGCTGGGTTGAGACTTTTCTGGACTCAAGAGCCACAGGCTCTTGTGAAGCAGAGGGTCTGAAGGCAGTGACCTTGCAGATGCCATTATCCAACACTCAGAAGGATCAGCAGGTGGGGGCAGTGCAAAGGAAGGAGCTCCCAAAAAAGCCAGAAGTTCTACCTGACCCAGGCACCATTGTGTTTTGCTTTAGGAAGCATGGCTTTGTCCAAAGATGCTGGGCAACCCCATTCCCACTCATGAATGCTGACACAAACTGCCAGGGCCTTGGCCCCTTAGGGTAGCCCTTTATTCTTTTGACTTAGAGGCACCAGTTAACCAGAGGTGTGGGCCTGCCCCATGTGGTACCTTGGAAGGTTCTAAACATGGGCTCTGTACAAAGTCCAGTAGCTGGGGACCCATTTGGGGATCCTGCATATACTACCTCTCTCCTAATCCACCTGCTGGCTTCATACTCACCCCATACCCACCCTCTTTAGACACCCTCACATTGGACAGCCTCTCTGTGGACTAGGACCTGATAACCTGCCTCCATTCTAGTCTTCTGCTCAGTCAGGCCATGTCCTAGGCTGTGACCAGAGACACCTACCATGCTGAAGCCTCTCCCAAGTGCCCTGGCTCCACCTGGCTAAGGGGCTGTGAGGCAGGTCACAATCAGAGGACCTCTCAGAGCAGAGTCTGAATCCCTACCACCACCCATGTGCCCCAGCTATGCAAGGAGCACCTCAGTGCCCAGTCTCCTGCCCCACTCACATCTCAACTTAGGCAGCAGGACAACCCTTACAGTACCCTGGGGTCAGTGGACGTCTGGCCTGGTTGGGCCAGTTGTACAACAGGACACAAGACAGACAAGGCTCAGGGTCTGGGCAGCAAAGATATCCTCAGGGCACTGGGGACAAGTTGTTTCTCTGAAGTTGGTGTGGTGTCCTGGATCCAACAGAGGGCTGGCACTTCTCACATTTCAAGACACTCACTGTTGCTGGACTCATTCATAAATACACAATTTTATTTGCTATTTCAGGGGAAACTTAGGCATTAAACAGTAAGCTTGATAAAATATGGATACCTAAAAAAGTATAAAAGTATAAATATCCCCTTTGAATAAATTTTAGTGAATTAAATCTTATCATTAAATTAAAAAACAAAAAAACCCCACAAGCCTATCCATTGTTAAGGTCATAAATCAAACAACACTAAGTGTCCAGCAACTCCCCAGAGAATGTCTATGGCCAACAGCAGGGCCACTACCCCAAGGGTGTGCTGGGGAGGACAGGCTGCTGTAGCTCAATCCACCCCATAGAAAGGTTTTTCTGAATCTTCTAAACCAAACAATTAACAACATACAAGAGACCTAACGAAAGGAAGAGGTCAGTCTTAGATGCTGGAGAACTTGGTTAATCGGTTACTGGCAAAGGAGAAGGAAAAGGGTCTAGGCAAGAAGTTTCCGGAAGCATTTGAAACGAATAGTGTCAGAGGCTCTGACCTGCGCATGGGCAGCCCTGGCGGTCAGTTTACACAGCTCCCTTGGGAAGCCAGAGGTCAAGAGACACAGACCTTGCTCTTTTGGGCCAGGTCTGCGGACTGCTACATCCCCCAGCTGAGAAAGGTCTGTTTCAAAGCTAGCAGGCACAGCTTCTGCAGGAACCTTGGTAGCTCTGATGTCATGTCAGATGGGCAGAACCCATGTAGGTTGTGCAAAGTCTCAAACACTCCAGAAATATGAGAGAAGAACTGCATAGTTATACAGGAAATGAGAGCCGGCAAGGAGACAGGTTTTGCGCTGTAAACATCCTGAATGTTCAACGTGACCTGGAGTGTCAGCTCCAGAAGCCAGGTGGACAGGCCTCCCGCCCCAGCCTCCATCCCAGGCGCAACAAAGGCACGGGTAGGCGCCAGCTCCCCCATAAGCCCACAGGTGGGAAAGATGAGGCAAAACCTCTACCTCCCATTAAATGATTTAACAGATCAATCCAAAACATAGCAACACTTTTAGGCATTTCTAAAGAGTATAAACATTGGGTGGTCTATCGACACTTTAAAAAAGGGATACAAAGTCCTCTCGCCTGGAAAATACAAATTGAGAAGCCTTGATGGTCCTGGGTCAAGCTGACGAGGCCAAAAAACAAGCCTGGCTCTGGGAGGGCCTGGCCTGGGACACGCGCCTGGAAGTAGTGACGATATGGAGGCTGCCTTTGCAGAGGTCAAGAGAAATCAACCAATCATGCCTGGAGGCAGAGTAGCCTCCCTGACCCAAGGATGGGGGCCTGGTGCTCAAGTGGTGATGAGAAGGCACCAAAGCCCCGAGCCACAGTGCACTGGACAGGAGTTATGGCTGCTGCCCTTCCTCCTGGCAAGCCCCAGGCTGCTTGTCGCAGACAATGTATAGCACCAAGGACCCCGTCCTTCAAATTGTCTTCAGGACTGCACGGGCTGGTCAATAGCATTCTGCCCCAGTCCCATGTGGCACTGAGAAAGAACAGAGTGAGACCACAGAGACTGTCAAACCCAGCTCTGACTGCCTCCCTGTGGGGATGACTGGCTTGACAGCTGGGCTGTCTCTCGCCACCCACATCTGAGGCAAAAAAGGATCCACACCCAGATCTCTAGAGAAATGATCAAAAGCAGATTTCTTCTCACAGCCATGTTTCCTGGACATGGCGGCTCACTGTTTCTTGGGAAAAAGGAAATCATTTCTTCAGCTGTCAGTACTCCTCACATCCTTGAGCCCCGTTCTTGCAAAATCTGAAAAATATAAAATACAGAGAGAGTAAAGATGCTGGCCCCAACCAAGTGCCTTGCTCGGAGAGCAGAGCCCAGACCTACTGCCTGGCTATATAAGTTTGGCTTATAATAGCCCAGAGGAACCTAGAACAGCAGGCCAGGGACTCAGCCAGCTGGCTGACAGGGAACTTTCACTGTGGGTGGCTGACATAAGCCTCCAGGTCCCCTCACATTGTATCCCCTATGTCTGACAGATCAGGCCCCCTATCCCACCCACCAATGAGAAGCAAGCATGCACCCTTTCGCCTGCTCCTGCCCCTTCCTAAACTCAAAAAGCCTTCCTGAGTTAGGTTATGCTGCAAACACCCTCCAGATCATACCCTGCTAGCCTTCAGTGCCTGCTACTCCAGCTGTGGCCCCCTCACCCTCAGCTCCTCTTCAGGCTGGAATGTAGGACATTATCTCAGTCTCCTTGACTGGCACATTGCAGCCAGCTGTGCATCCACCCAGTTGTGCTGGGAGCCCCTGGAGGCCTTCAAGTCAAACTGTGGCTGGGTACATGTTGCTAAGCTTCTAGGTCTAAGATGGGAAATGTCTCCAACCCTAACAACTATGATCAATAGCACTTAAGTCTGGGACAGCAGGGAGAGCTGGCCCTGGGAACTATGAGAAAGGGCTTTTGAAGGAAGGCCAGGTTCTCTCAGGCTTTTTCTGTACCTACTAAAGCACCAAACACCCTGCCTGCCCCCCAAGCCAGCCCCATTGAGAGCTGTGTGGGCTATAACCTTTACTCTAGCACTTTGAGGGCAACTTTTACACGTCTAGGGGATAGTGCTACCCTCCCTATCCCAATAATGGCAAGTTCCACAAGGTTAGTGACTCCCGTGCTCTATGGTATACCTGGAGGTGACTCAAGGAGCCACCTACTTACTGAAGAGAGGAGTTCAGCCACCAACAGCCCCGTGCAGATAAGCCAGCACAGGCAAGGGTATATGCTGGCAGAGCTGGCAGTAGAGTGTCTGTTCAGAACAGTGTGACTTTCTGGAAGGGCCGAGCCCCCAACAATCCATCAGAACTTGTGACAGTAAGACCACCATTCACACCACTGAAGCCAGTCAGAACTGTCTGCCTTGGAAAAGGTCTCATGAAATCCATCTACATCCATAGGAAGATCTAGGCTACTCACGTGGCTTCATCCTATGATGTCTAGGAAATGGGGCCTATTTGAGGTTTGCTTTCATGGGCACCACTACTGTGCTCCCAAAGGAGACTCTCAAGAAGTCTGGGGACCACTGAAAGAAGCCTGCTCTCCCTCCAGGGCACTTGTAAAGCCTCCAAGCCCCAGACACCTCCAGAGAGCTGTCTTCTCTAGCCAACCTGATGGCAGGTATGGCTCCCTTGAGCTTCTATCAGTCCCACCACACCCTGGGCTGAGTGACTGTCACAGCTCACTCCCAGGGCAAATCAGAGTTGAGTGCCTCCTGCCCAGGTAGCTGCAGGGCCCCTCCAAAGAGTTGTCACAACTGAGGTGCTGAAACAAACCACATACCTGATTTCAGCTACTGAAGAGTGAAAAGGGGAAAGAAAAATTAATCTCAGTATGACTGACATTGTATTTTTGTCCAGGTGTGGTGATACATATCTAGAGTTCCAGCTACTCAGGAGCCCGAGACAGGATATCTATATATCTATATCTATATCTGTATCTCTTTTTTGAGACAGGGTCTGGAGGCCTGGAGCAGGCCTGGAGCTCACCATGTAGACCAGACTGGTCTTGATCTCATAGAGATCTGCTTGTCTATCTCCCAAGTGCTGGGATTAAAGGTATGTGCCGCTATATCTGGCCCTAAAAATATTCTTTAAAAGATTTATTTTGGGACCTGGAGAGATAGCTCAGCAGTTAAGAACACTGACTGTTCTTGCAGAAGACCCAGGTTTGAATCCCAGCACCCATATGGCAGCTAACAATTGTCCGTGACTCCAGTTCCAGGGGATCCGACAGCCTCTTCTGCCCTCCTCGGGCACTGCATGACACAGGTGCAGCTACCTACATGCAGGCAATACACGCATACACATAAAATAAAAAATAATAAATAAAATATGTTTTTAAATTTATTTTTAATTTTGTGTTTGTGTGTTTGTTTCTGTGTGAGTATGTGCACAACAGTGCAGGTACCCTTGGAGGCCAGAGGTATCAGATCCTCCTGGAGCAAGAGTCATATGCAGTTGTAAGCTGCTTGATGTGGGTGCTGGAACCAAATTCAGGTCCTTGGTAAAAACAGCACACTGTTTTAACCATTGGAGCCATCTCTGTAGCCCCTTACCTCAAAGAGAAAGAAAGAAACAACAACAGTTTAAACATTTATTCTATTTTACTGTTATAGTGGGTACACATACAGATGTCACAGCAAACTTCACTATGTAGCTTAGGCTGATTTGGAACTCAGGATCCTCCTGCCCCAGCCTCTTGAATGCCGGGATGGCAGATATGCGCCACCATGACTGCCTTGTGGTGATAGCTCTAATTTTTTCAAAATTTATTTTTATTATGTATTTGAATGCTTTGCCTGTATGCATGTAACTACCATATGAATTCGGTGCCCAGGAAGACTGGAAGAGAGTGTTAGAACCCTCGGAACTGGAGATATAGAGGGTTGTTAGCCACCATGTGGATGTTAGAAACTGAACCCAGGTCCTCTGGCAAAAGCAATCAGTGCTCTTAACTGCTAAGCCATCTCCCCAGCCCCATGGTGAACTCAAAGGGCTAGATGATGAATACTTTTAAGGTCAAGAGGCAAAATTGAGGCCATCACATACATACTTACACAATGACTTCAAAGTACAAATTCAAATGGAAAAGGCCATTCTCAGCTCCAGAGTGGGCACTAAGACCACTCTCTGCTGGGAGGATACTGTTCACCTCCAAGGTGCCTGGCTGGCCATATATCTCCCATGCCTTGTGCTCTGAGCTGCTCTCAGGGCAGCAATGAGGGTTCCCGGCCTGTGCACTACACCTGTAAGGCAGGGACCCTCCTGGGCAATGCTCATGCTCCCACCCACTCACTAAACAGTGTTCCCTGGATAAGAACCAACAGATAAGCCCTGCTGAGGTGACATTGCGCTCAGAATCTATCATAAGCCTGGCCTTCAAGATGTGAATGGTGGGAACTGGCCAAGGATTGACTGAATAGAGGAGGGTTTGGGGGTGGAGGGCCAGTCCAACCTCAGTGAAGATGAGCATGGTATAAGGAGGGGGAAGACACAATAAGACAGCAGCAGTCCCTCTTTGGGCTTTGATATCTGAGATCAGGGAACACCAATTTTTTTGAGGCCACAAGCCTATGACTGACAAAAAGGCCACTCCATAGGGGCTAGCAGGCGGAACTGATTGAGACCTCCTGTACCCACACCCACTGACATCCACAGCCTGGCCTGACACAAAGCCCCAGTCCTGCCCATGGCATGCATGGAAGGACACTATGACAGAGCAGCACTCAGCATCCAAGCCATAGCCCCTGTCCCTCCCACAGGGAGTTCTACTACAGATCTATAGGCATAGCTACCAAAGGTTCTGTCAACTACAGGATGTACAGGAGCCCAGGGGAGGGGTGGAGGCAAGTGTCACTAGGGGTCATGGATCAAGGAGATTAAGGTCAATCTGAAGGCCATAGAGCTGACCATGATATTTATACTTAATCTGAGCCACTACCTTGGTGCCCCGTCTCCTCTTCATTGCTCTGGTGCGGCAAGCAGCAAGCAGTAAAGGGAGAAGAAGACACAGCTGTCAGCTGAGCTTGAACAGTGCAGGCCTGTGAGAGGACCACTCAATAGACTGCCTAGGAAGAAAACCTGGAGGAATTCTGGATTCAGCTGCAAGGTGATCCCTCACCTGCAGCAGGTGCCTGACCTCACAGCTCTAAGGCGGGATAAGGAACTGAGCCCTGCCTAAGAGGGCCTTAGCTGTGGTCCTAGCTTGTGGGCAGTAACTTATAGAGGACCACAGATTATCCTGCCTGATGGGAGGGCTTTTGCTGGAGTTGGGGACCACTTGTATGACAGAGGTGAGGCTGAGACTGACCAGTCATGTGGGCAGCTGTTGATCAACCCATTAACAAATCATGCCTGTGCAGGGGAGCCTCAAAGATACACTGGACCCAAGGCTCCAGGGTTCCCTCATGGATATGTGTCACACAGTAAAGGGATGTATCCTGATTAGAGGGCTCTTTTGCCCTTTACCTCAGGAATGTCCTTTGTCAACTATACTTCTCTGAGCCTAACCACTCCCACTGCATTCTGAGTCAGAGCTAGACCTCAGGTGAGCGTGGCTTAGGAAGGCTTTAGGCTTGCCACTGGTACTGGAAGTAAGGTATTCACCTGGGCCTGCCCCTCTCAATCACAGTTGGCTTAACTCCTTGTACAGGCCACGGTCTTGGTGCCCTGATAGCCCCTGTTCCTATCATTCTCAGCTTGAAACAGGAAAAGACTGCAGCAGTGCCAGGTAGTCACCAAATGCTCAGGGAACACCTACAAACGGGGCTGTGGGATCATGGTAGCTATTGACCATGGTTAAGTGGTCACACATCTCAAGGGGATCCACTGCTCTCAGAAGGGTGGCTCTATGTATAGTGTATCTCCAAACCTCTGTTCTCTAGATCTGGCACCCATGGTGCCCCACTACTTTGGGTACTCTAGACTGCCCCAGCTCCTAGGGACTGGCTGCTGTTGACCTCATTCAGAAGCTGCCTTGGCTGTTCTACTTCAGAACCAGGTATTTTTGAAGAGAGAAACAGGGACTTGAGGTCCCTGCTATTTTTAATAGCAAAGGGACTTGAGGTCATACCTGAGGCCTCCTCACAGCACAGAATATGTCCTTTTGGCAGCTGAAAAGCCATGGAGGAAAAGAGCTCTAGTAAGCTTCATTATGAAAACCCTAAGTTTAGGAAGAAAAAAAGCTTCTAAAAACACATGTATGGAAGAGTCTTATGTCATTGCTCAAACACAGAAATGTCCTTTTATGATTGGCTTAGAGGCTCTTCAGGAGGTAGGGGATGCCTGTTAGATCGAAGACCAATGGGAAGCTTGGTCCAGGCCTGGTGCTGTGGTTCTGGTTTTCCCTAACCTGATGCTGAGACCAGAGCCCTTGTCTAGTCATGCCAACCTGTGCTTAGAAGTAACAGTGCTAGAGGGCCTGTCCCCGATTCCTCCACTCTCCAGGAGCACACAAAGGTTAAGGGAAGGAGTCTAGGGGATCTGAGGCTATAATACATCAGACAATGGCAAAGATACCTGTTAATCACATTGAGGGGAAGATGGGAGAACTGCTGAGATGGGGCTGGCATAACTTCCTGGACCCTCTAAGGAATTCTGCCTCTTAGTTACTAAGCCCTCATCCCAAAGACCAGGAAAGGCTAAAGGAACAGTCCTGAGGAGATGGAAGCCACCCAGGGGCTTATGACTAAATGTCAGATTGCCACAGAGTCCCTGCTAAACCATAGCTTCTTGTTGCCCCCACTCATAATGCCCTCCAGCAGTGCCCTGGGCCTTACGAGGGTCACCCTAAACTTGGGCTCAGCCTAAGCCAGGCCTTCAGAGCCTTTGCCAAGATGCCTGGAGACCCCTGGTTCCCCATGAACTGGCTACAGGGCTCTGCGGTTGTTACCACCTGGCTCCAAGGCCTGGGAGTAATCAAGAAAGTAATGCTGGGTACAACAGGATATATGTGTGTGTCTGTCTGAGTCCCAGTCATAAGGCACTCAGGAGAATTGTCACCAAAATTGGTCACTTGAGGGTTTATCCAGAAGTAAATGAGACAGGCTGCATGCTCATCCCTGGCTCTGACATCACCCTCCAAAACAGAAGAGCCTGGCCCTCTGTAGTGCAGGACTGAATGACAATCCCTTTTGCACAATGCTAAAGACCAGCTACTGGTAGCAGCTAAAGGCAGCTGCTGGTACTGAAAACTGGACCCACTGCCCTCTGCTTAAGTCCCAAGCACTCTCCCCACACCTGACGTTGTTCTCTGGGAACAGAGAATGTCTTCATCCCCTGAGAAAACAGCCCACAGTAGCAGTCTTGACACAGAGACTCAGCTGGTCTAGCCTAAGTTCCAGATACTTTCAGGAGCAGCTCTGTCTTATGGTTGTGGAAACCAGAGTCTAGTGTAGTATAATACACCCTACAAAGGAGCCTCTGCTCTGACAAGTCAGATGGCTTATGTAAGAATCTTTAGCCACCAGGGGACCCAACATCTGAGTTTAATGGGAATGAAAGAAAGCCTGAGGCATTAAGAAGAAAAAAGCCTTTGAAAAGCCAACTCAGTGTCTTCCACAGGGACAGGACCATCCCACTGGTACTCACCTTGGCTTTCTCACTGGGCTCACTGGTTGTGCCATACGGGGTGTTGTGCAGCTCCTTGGAAACCACACAGAGGAACTCAGCCTGGTCTTCATTTCCATAGTTGTAAGAGGAGCCAATACTGACCAGCTGGAAGGGAGACACAGCCTGTGACTACATGCAGCGGCTCAAGTCTACCTGCTGCCAGGAAGACTGCGGCACAGATTGTGGAAGCTCGGGAAAAGGAAAACTAGCTTTAGCTAGGAGATTTTCCCATACACTAGCGGGAAGCAAACCTTCAAGTGCCCTGGAGGAGCCTGCACCCGCACCCCCATATAATTGCATGACATGCTGGGACAGGCTCTCTCTGCAGACACTGAACTTTTCTTGGTGCTCCTAACTAGGTCCCAGGGGATGACAATGACTGGTCACCCTAGGGGGGACAGTGCACAGGGTAAGGCAGGTAAGTGAGAGCCAAGGCCAGAGTATGTGCATAAATGCCATTTGGGGACCTGCTGCTGGCTTTTATTGGAGACATGGTCTCCCTGTAGCCCCAGTTGGTTTGGAAATGGCTATGTACCAAGCTGGACTTGATCTCATAGAGATCCTCTTGCCTCTGCCTCCCAAGTACTGGACTAAAGATGTGTGTCACCAACCCGGCTTGACTGTCCTTCTCTCTGCTGACAGCCCTCCTGGGGGTAGTAGAACCTCTGCAGGCTGGCCCTACCCCTGCTCAAAGGAGAGAACCTCAGGGTAGGGCTGGGGAATGCAGGGAATAACAACAGAGGGCTGAGTGTGAGCTGAGCCTGATTCTCAAAGTCAGACCCTGAAGGTGATATCCTGCATCTCTATACATCCTTGGCCATTCTGCCTTGCCTCAAAAGCCTCTGGTCACCAGGTATGCCACTTGGGACCAGGGCCATGCTTATTGCTCCAGGCATGAGTCTAGGACAAAGCTGCCCACAGCCACCAAGCACTTTTGTCCTTTTAAAACACAAAAGTAACTGCAAGGCAACTACTGCAGCCATAGTAAGGATGCCAAGAGCAGAGTGGTCCCTGCCTATGAGTCCACACATTAGGAGCAGAGTCAGGACAGCATTCCACAAGGCAAATTGCCATCCCCTTCAGCACTGGGGGATGAAGTGGTGGAGGAGTGGACTCTACCAGGTGAGGCGGATGCCAGGGGTGCTAATGTTGGATCAGTTAGTTGTGGGGGCCCCACTGAGGTGGGGACATACACATAAATCCACATCTGTCAGAGACCCCATGTTCTCATAAGGCAGCTCTGCTCTGGCCTAATCAATGACCCTTGGGTGACTCTAAGTTGGACTGGCCACCTTGAAGGGACTGGATCTCACTCCAAGTCCCTGAAAGCTTGTTAACTCAGTACTAGTTCCATAGGGTACTCACTAGCCAGCTCGACTCAGCCTATCTGGGTTTCACCAGCATGAACTAGTGGCATGGAAGTCCCCTGGGGTGACTGTACAAAGGTCACAGTCAAAGGGAAAGAGGTGTGTCTGTACCATGAATCTGGGATCACTCAGGATAGTTAAGGACAAAGTCTCAAAGCTGGTTACAGGAGGAGACTCTCACTTCCAGCCAGAAGTCACAAGACAGCAGAGTACAAGGCACTCAGCTTTAAATGAGGTGCCCTAATTCATGGATCCAGAAAGGCTGACAGTCACTTTCCAGCACACAGCCTTTCTTGGGCCGCATGCCAGGGACAACATGAGGGACAGGGTCTGGTGTGATTCTGACAGGGTCTGGGCATGAGAGACACACAGACTCATCCTGTAGGACTCTGCCAGAACCCCAGGAGGACAGAGACCACAGAGTACCCTCCATGTGGACAAGAAGCACTTGGGAGTTCAGCCCCACACATGGAGGTACCCGATACAGCAGAGTACCCCAATGGAAGAACTGATATTAGAAACCCACTACAAACAGAGTCTGGGAGGTGGTAGAGTCAATGGCTGCAACCCACAACCTAGACTCTTGTGGTTACTGCACTGATAAAGGATAGGACCTAGGTATAGGTTCCTAGGATCTGAGGACCCTGTTGAGCTGCAGCCCTCACCTGCTCGAACTTCCAGCCATCTGACATGGTGGACACCATCTGTGTGAGTTCCTCTTCCTGGCACTGCAGCACACGGTACACATGTTTCACAGGCATCTGCAAAGACAAGTGCTCTGTGAGGTCAAGCCTAGCCCTGCATCCCAAGTGACTCTAGCTTTGTGCTACCACAGGTCATGGTGCCCAGAGCAACCTTGAACATACCCACACATCCAACGCACGCCTCAACAGCTGCTCTGTGCTGCTTCCTTGTTCACTTCCAAAAATATTTCTACTTCTAAATTCCAAAATAAAATGAGTCATGCTCCTAAAATCCTCAGCACACCTGTGGCTAGATGTGAATACACAGAATACCTTCATCTGTCCCATGAAGGGCCACATAATCTTTCAATTAACCTTCTGGAAGGACCTAATAGGGAGGGTCAAGAGGCAAGGCCAACTCATCTTTCACTGGCACAAAAAGCTTGTCAACACACACAGTGGCTCAGACACAGGCCCTGCTCCAGAATGAACTGGGCTCCTAATCCCCTGCTTGCCCAGTAGGGACTCTGAGCAGTTCCAGGCTGACTTTGGTCTTGGATATAGGGTAGGGGATAGCCAAGAGATGGGTTTGCCCTCCTATAGCCACCAACATGCACAGGACAGATAAGGGTCCCAGATCACTGCTGCTTTGGTGGTGACTTGTGCCAGAGGTATGTGGGTAACAGTCACACACTAGCCTTGCTTTTACCCAAATGTTTCAACAGTAAGACATTAAATGACACCAGCTGCTACATGTTCCTGTGAGGTAAGGCCCAAGAGGGTCTCTCCTACCTCCACAATGTGGACAGAAACTGAGGTAGCTTAGGTCACATGGTCTTGCTTGAGACAGAGGAAAACAAGTCAAACTGAGAAAAGTGGGAAACCTTCAGGACCTGTCTATTGACTTGCTGAGGAGCAGCTTCCCCTCAGATTCTCTCTGCCATTGAAGAGCTCAGTGGAAGGCAAAAGGCTGGGCAGGTCATGTGTATGTTCCACCCCAACACTTAGCGAGCCAGAGCTTCACATAGACTGAAGGTGTATGGTGGGAAAGTGCCTGAAAGTAGCATGACAGGAAGGCCTTTCACAGGAGTGAGGTAGTGAGAAGGCTTTAAGTAGACCAAGACAGAATGTTGCCAGCATTCACTTTATGATGTCCTCCTGGAGTGTGCTAAGCTGAGTGAGGGCGTAGATGCTCTCAAGTGTAGAGCCGGCTTAGTAAGAACAAAGCTGAGACCCACCAGGGCCTTCTTCAGAGGTGGGGCCACTATCTACCACAGACAGCACAAGGTTGATGGGCAGCACGGGGCCTGCTGACTGTGGCCATGCATGATGGTCCCTAGGACGGTATGCAGCATGCCTGAAGCACTGCTCAGAGCTCAACCTCACATCCCTCCCACTGCACAGATCGCTAGCACTTGTGCCATTTATTTCCCAGCTTATCACTGCTCTTCCCTTCACCATACTGGCCACAGGCCTTTTGCATTTGCTACCCCAGCCTAGATGCCCTCCCATCAGAGGCCTCCCTGCTTTCTAGCATCCACATTTAACTCATTAGGCCTTCCTCTTTTCAACATGTTCATCACACCCAACCTGATGCAACTGCCTGTCTCTCCTGACTGCAGTGGGCCCCCTGACATAGGGTCAGGCAAAGGTGCATATACTCTTGATAGCAGCCAAAGAAGCTGGAGGGGAGGCCTGGGGTACTAGGATGAGGATGGGACAGCTCTGGTCCAAAGGCCACACACAAGGAAGCTGAGCCTGCCTACAAACCAGGTCCTGGGAGCTGCCAGCATATTGGTCACCTGTCTCACCTGTGATGTTTTGCTGTCTCGTTCTCTAATTTTATCCTTTACAAGTTTTATTAGTGAGGTGATATTGTAAAATTCTGCTTCCTCCAACACTCCTGAAATAGAAGAAAATGTGATTTTCATCACAGAACAAAGCAAATAAATATTTCACCTTGTCCCCACCCCCAGTCTTAAGTCTGTGCCCAACCTGACCTAATAACATTCTCACAGACCTCCAGCAGTTCCCAGTGTTCAGCAGAGACAGACCACCTTGAAAAGGAGGGAGAGTTTCCTAGACATACTTGTGGCACTGTTACAGGAGGTGACACATGGGGGCAGAATACCTGTTCTGGGCCCACAGAAAATGGGAGATCATTGGCATTTTTCCTCTGCAGCCTGGTGGCTGCCTGTTCTATACCACTGGCTCTTCTACTGGGAACCTGAAGATGCCAGGACATAGTGTGGGAAGTCATGGACTCCCACATATATCCCAGTCACACACATCTCATTTTCCCCTGCTCAAATAAAGACTAGCTGACAAGTCACTCCTGGGTCCAGGGCTTTTCCTACAGTCTGCCATCTGTAATCCCTATACTTGGGACCCGTAATTCCCAGAAACTTAAGACCAGATTATAAGGACCCTGCTTCAGGGTTTCCTCATCAGTACATGCTTTTCTAATTTCTTTAGCCCCCTCGGGGGAAGCAACACCCAGACCAGGAAAGCTCAGGAGAACACATGGCACAGCATGTGGAAGGGTGGAGTACACGGAATGAAATGAAATGTAGTCTACTCCAAACAGAGTGGGAAGGCTGCCAGGCAACACACATGGACTCATAGCCCCAGAGTGGAGCTTTGTTTCCATGCTTAAGCCCAGTGACAATTTGCACACACAACAGTACAGCGGAAGGAGAACTCAAAACAGACACTGAGATCCTGAAGAAAGGAGATATGGCCAGGCGTGGTGGTGCACGCTTTTAATCCCAGAGCTCAGGAGGCAGAGGCAGGTGGATCTCTGTGAGTTTAAGGCCATCCTGGTCTACATAGTTTCAGGTCAGCTGGGGCTACAGGGAGACCCTGTTTCAAAAGACAATAATAAAAATTTTTTGCCAAAAAGTGTGGGGAGATATGGCAGGAGCTTCAAAAAGAAGCTCCACAACCTAGGCCCGACCAACTGATACAGGAAAGATGCCAGAACCTGCTAGTGCCTTGATGAAATGGCCCTAATCTTTCTAAGCCAAGACAAGCTAGCCTAGTACTATGCACCCTGTGCTCCATGACCAGGCAGAATAAAGAGTGGTGGCTAGTGAGGCGACTATGCAAAATGTTTAGGATCCTTGAGGTGACCTTGAAGGAGAACAGGCCATAAAGCCCAGTGTACGCCTTTAATCCTAGCACTGGGGGTGGGGTGGGGGTGGGGGGCAGAGGTAGGTGATCTCTGTGAGTTCAATGCCAGCCAGGTCTACATAGTGAGCTCCAGGTCAGCTGAGGCTACAGGAAGACACTGTCTCAAAAAAACCAATAAATAAACAAATAAATAAATAAATAAATAAATAAATACATAAATAATCAATCCCTTAAGACACAGCCTCTCACTGTAGAAGTCCAAAAGCTGTGGGACCTAGGGGAGCCACCCATACTGCAGCATGAAGACCCTTGAAACAGACCCTTGCAACGTAGTGTAGTCTTTGGCCACTTGGTGTGCCTCTTAGGCCCTTCAGGAAAGCAGCCCCTGACAGAGGGTCTGGTTTGAGGCACCTGCAACTTCAAAGAACCAACCAGCATTTATTTCTACCAGGCACCAACCCAGAGCTCATGTGTCTGCTCAAAAAGAACATAGCCAGGAATAGTGGTGTATGTCTTTAATCTCATCACCCAGGAGGGAGAGGCAGGCAATCTCTCTGAGATCAAGACCAGCCTGGTCTCCATAGCAAGTTCCAGGCCATCTGGGCTACAGGGAGACCCTGTCTCAAAATAACAAACAAAAAAAACTACCACTACCACGAGTAGCCCCCCTACCCCCAAAAAACTCAAAAGAACATACCTTCCTCTGCAAGGTCTTTGTTAATAACCAGTTTTCCATGTCTCAGGTAGTTCAGTACAGGTCCAAAGTAGGTGGGATCTCTGTCAATTAAATAGGCACCTGTTTCATCCTACAAAGAATAAAATGTTGTTAGTCTTGTGTAGAAATCAGTGATTCCGATGTCAGACCAAGCCAGATCACACCCAGCAACACCAGCAGCACAGGTCCCATGTGTGCTCATGTACCCTGCCTCAGAAAACTTCTAAGCATTCTTGGATCCCATCTGCTGCCATGGTGATCTCCAGTAGGTCTCAACTGTCATCTAGGTCACCTCCCTGTGTATACTGATCTGAGCCAATCAGGCATGGAGTCCCTTCCCCAGAGCCAAATGACTCTGAGAAACAGCTAAGCAGTGCTCACACAGCCTCCTCCACTCAATACTCTCATGGGCAAGAAGGATGATGCCCATGGTTCAATTTTTTTCCACCCTGAGAGAGCATCTTGCTGTGTAGGTCAGGATGTCTTTGATCTTGCCACATAGCCCAGGCTGGCCTTGAATTCACAATCCTCCTGAATGCTGAGATTACTGGTATATATGCCATGCCTGGCTCCTTGGCTCAACCTTTTTTTGTTTGTTTTTTGGTCTTTTTGAGACAAGGTCTCCCTCTAGCCACAGCTGGCCTAGAACTTACTATGTAGACCAGGCTGGCCACAATCTCAGAGATCCGCCTGCCTCTGCCTCCAGAGTGCTGGGATTAAAGTTGTGCGGCACCAGGCCAGGCTGTGGCTCAACTTCTAAAGACTCTGGGCCTTGGCAGTCTATTCTCCTTGCTCCAGGATGTCCCCAGGCAGATCTCTAGGATAAGGAGTCCAGGTAGTGATAGACCGGAGAAAGCACCCTTCACTGCTGAGCCCTGAAGCCCACTGTTAGGAGCCTCCTTAGCAAAAAGCCTAGCCTAGGTCAATCAATGACATTGAAGTGACCACACAGGGTACCTCATTAGTTTTTGCTGAACCACAGCCCTAGGGCTTTCCTAGTGATTGTGGCCACTAAGGGAACCCTCCTCACTCACTGGTCTGTGGAATCAAAGTCATCTACAGGACGACCTGTGCAGCAAGTGCTCCTTCTCTACTGGACTGCCTGGCTCTTCCATGAAGTAGTAGGTCCCCTTGAGGACTGATGCCCCCACCTGCCACTGAAGCCATCTCTGTGAAGGACATCCTTGTGAGGCATAGGACAGGTACAGCCCCATGTGACATGTCACATGATGCAGCCCTGCTAGAAACAGAAGTGTAGGATGAAAGCCACAGGCCTGGCTAAGGTCAGAGGAGAGGGTACCTGTGTTGGAACCACCAAAGTGGGGCAATGTACAGATGTTACAAGGACACCCTCCTGAATGGACCAGTGAGCCTGTTACACCTACCTATAACTGCCACAAATTGGCTGCATATAATTTGGCGACTGCCAAGTCCATCTGGCCCCATACATGCTGGTGTAGCCTGATACCCTGTTCCTATGGATAGCGAGGGACGGCAGCCCAGGGAGGACAGGTGGGGTTAAGTACTGGGGAAAGAATATGACTCCACAAATCAAAAGAACACATTGGCTTTCCCGACCATAACATAGCTCCCTTGGGGACCCTGTAGGTATAAGTCATGGAAAATGCTGTACTTGCCATAAGGTGGGAAGAGTTGGCTGCCTAGAAAGGACAGTATTGGGCATGTGGGGTGTCCTGGAGCCACTTGGATGTGGGTGCCTATGAGCAGCAGAGCTCACAGAGGGGAGGTGCCTCAGCCACAATGCAATGAGCCTTTATAGAGGCCTTCTGTCTTTGTGGACACCATTTCTGGTAATTTCAAGGGTTCCCACATTCACTGCCGGAAAATGACAAAAACTTGCTTTTCTTAGATCGAAGGGAGACACCTGAGCTGTGACTAACATCTACTCACTTAAGCCTCAGAGACAGGGATGCTAGAACCCAGAGCTGCTCCTGTCAAGCAGTTATCTCTTCCTGTGGTCCCTGTTCCACTCCACAGGAGTGTCCCAACCCCAAAGACCTCCTGATTCATCCCCCTCCCCCAAACTAAGGACAATATATAGGTCCAAGTGCCCCAGGGTTCCCCATCCTGCAACCTGGCCTTTATGCTGATAGCTACCCAGGACCTGCTTCTCAGCCTCTCCCTTAACCCTCTGGACCCCAGTCATCTAAGCAAAGCCAAGAAAACCTCACAGACGAGCTTCCAGAAGGATAATGGCAGTCCTGCCTTCCTAGTGAACAGCCAGCTTCCCACAAAGGGGTGAAAGTCTGGAGAAACGTTTGGTACCACCACAAGTAGAGCCCTCCCCTGTTCCCACAGAAGTGTCCCCTGTGATGTCACATTTCCACATCACTGGGCTCAGGAATTACTCATAGCTCAGTGCCCCTTTGATAGACTACTTGTAGGTCAAGAAGAAAAGGTCAGAGGGGAATGGTCTGATCGCTACCCAAAACACTCATCATGCTGACCAGAGCCTTAGAGCCCAGCCTCCATTAGTCAGAGGGAGCCAGATTACTCCAAACCTTGCTTCTTCATGAGAATTGGCTGCTATGAGCATCAGGGAGAGGGTCCTGGGCCCATGTAATGCCTGCTACACGTATACAGTCCCTGGGGTTAAGCAAGAACCTCTTGGCAACAGAAAGCCTAAAATCCCCCTGAATATTAAGGGGGCAGGGGAGGAGGGCAGAGAGGAAAGGGGAGAAGGAAGAGACTGCTGTCTATTGAGTGACCCTGCTCAGCACCCTCCTGGAGACTTCCAGAATGATGAGTGACATAGGCCTCCCAAGCCTGAAGGATGAAGGCAAGGGACACTGTGGCAGGCCAGAGCCATCAACACTGGGTGAGCTGGCATTGGCACTTTGCATAAAAACCATGAAGGGAAGCTGAGCCTCAGACAGGCAAGCTCACTTGCAGGATCTGGCCAGCTCTGGTGCTGGGTAAGACTGGCTCTCACTGAACGTGCCCTGTGGGATGAATGCCTCTCTAGGTCTGCCCTTTAACCCAAAGCACCCACACACACCCCTATAGCCTAGAACAGGATACACCTGAACACTGGCCTCTTCTAGGCAATGTGACCAGCTGGGGTGACAATACCTTCTCAGGGTACCCAAAGTGAGAGCCCGGACACAGTATGAACTTCTAACAGCAGAGCGCTGGACTCTGGAGTCTCTCTCTGTCCTGGAGCTGAGGGCTCCCCAAGTGAACTGAAGACTTAGCTACAAGAATCAGAAATAGCAGCATGGAGGCAGTAGCTCAATGAACCTCACAGTTTTAGCCTCTTCCAGCCAGTATCCTGTGCTTAGAACCTAGTGTCCTTTGCCTAAAATTCAGCCACCAAGGAAGGGGAAGCCATTACTTTATGGAGACCTCACCTGTGTCTGGCTAAAAGGTACTTTAGATTAAGGAGCCTCCTGGACACTTCCAGAAAAAATAACAAAGGACTTCAAGGCATGGAGGGCAGGAAGAGTTAAGAGGACCCTGAATACATACAGAGGTCTAAGTGATTTGTGAAGGCCCCAGCACCATGACCCAGTATGGCAACATGTGCTAAGAATAGCAGGACAGAGCCACCTTGTAAATGAAGGCAGGGAGGTTATCAGGCTAGTAACTGGCACAGGCCAGAAAGCAAGGCTGCAACTTCAGGCAGGGGAGCAATCCTCACCGGGCTGCTACCAGAGGTGGCAGAGAGAAAATGGTCCCCAGTCTAGGCTCACATTTGGATACTCATAGAAATCGAAGAGAAAGTAGAGGATTGTTCCCTCTGTGCATCACCTCATGGCTCTCTGGCCAGTTTGTTTGGATGGCTACTTCCTTAAAGCTGGCCAGCTGCCCAGGCAGCAATGAAGAGCAGAGTAGGCAGGGTCTGAAGAGAGGTAGTGAAGTGTGGAGCACTGTTCACATCAAGTTCTTTAGAAGCTGTCAGTGAGAGATCCCAATTCCATAGAAGGACCAGGATCCAAGGCCAAGTTCCATACCCCACAGACTTCCAGCATGACACACACAGCAGTGCTGCTCAGGGTCCACCACAGAAGCACTCCAGACTGCTGAATGGCCCAGCCTTGGAGTGTACTGGGCGACTGACAGGAGCCCCAAGCACTACATGTCCCAGTAGTGGTAATGCAGCTCTGGGTCTCCATCCTAATCTAGAGAAATTCAGGAAATGGACATTCAAATGGACAAACCAGGAAACACAAATTCAAACTTTACTCACATAAAATCAGTGACAGACTACCTTGATGCCAACTACAGCAATTAGGGCCAACTGAGGAAGGGCTATCAGGATTACCTGCTCCAAGAGCACTCAAGACATAGAAGGATACTTGGGGTGTCACACACTTCAGAAACCAGATTCAGAGAAGTAGCAGCCAGGAAGCAGGCCATGACAGGGCACTGAAGTTTTTTGTTCTTTCTTCCTCTCTTCAGTCCTATCATGATTTCTAGAACAAGTGTATGTTACACTGGTATGGTGTGAAGGTTTTGGTTTTCCATAAAAGCACCAGCATTAAGACTGCTTCCTTGGGGCTGGAGAGATGGCTCAGTGGTTATCGGCTGCTCTTGCAGAGGACCAGGGTTTGATTCCCAGCACCTACAATGGTGGCTAACAACTGTCTGTGACTCCAGTTCCAGGGGATCCAATGCCCTCTTCTGTCCTACATGGGCACTGCACAAAATGGGTACACTTACATACACGCAGGCATAACATTCATACACATAAAATAAAAATAAATAAGTCAAAAGAATTAAAAATAACTTTTGTTTGTTTTTGAGACACGGTTTCCCTGTAGCTACGGCTAGCCTGGAACCCACTATGTAGACCAGGCTGGCCTGCAACTCATGGAGAGCCACCTGCCTCTGCTGGGATTTAAGGCATGTGCCACCAGTCCTGGAGAAAATAAGTATCTTTAAAAAACAAAACAAACAACAACAAAAAAACTCTGACAATCATTTTCCTCTACCGAACCCTCCTTCCTCACTTATCACTGAATCTGTGTCTGACCTACTTGTGGCAGTGCTGGCTGGAAATAAATATATTTCAAAGGCATAAAAAAAGGGACCACCGGACTTAGCTCTGAACATTAAATGAGAGCCAAC